CACCCTGACCCGCATCATCTTTGTTTTACCCAGAACCGAACCCGGAAAAAAGCGTTTGAAAAAATACCACCCGCAAAAAATGCAGTCATTGAAAGTGCACTTTCCTGTGTGCACGTTTAACCAGTAATGCGCTGTTCTTTTTTCTGTCTACAGGTTTTCAACCCTCGCATTGGAATGGATGCTCTCCAGGTCTATCCCATCAGCCAGGCTAATGCTAACCAGCGCTCAGGCAGAGCAGGACGTACAGGACCAGGGCAGTGTTACAGGTAACATGCACACAGCCACTATCAGTGCTGAGAAGTTCTGCCATTTTGAACTTCCTTCAAGGCTACCCCTAAAGATGGCTTTTTAGCTGGCATTGGCAAGAATCTCTAAAACCACAGAAGGGATTTTTATGCTGAGAGCAAAAACATATTATAGTGCATTATGTTCCCACTCTTGTTTTAGATTCACAAATAAACAACCTGAATATGATTTTCATTTTTCAATTCCTCTTTTCTCTGTTTGAGAATGTATGATTTAAGCATAACTGTTGTTAAAGTGTGTTTCTCCCTTCTGTCGTTTGAGATCAGGGCTCTGGATGTGTTGCATGACCGTGTTTTCAGTTGCAGGGAGAGGGCAAGCACCTCAATCTCCAGAGGATTTCATGCAGTTTAACTTTGTTTATGACAGAGAAATGTGCCACAAAAGAGATTTCACTTGACCTTGCTTTCCTTTGCAATATTTACCTTGGTGAAGAACAACATACATTTTGCATCGCTAATGAGCTAGGATGTTTATGAAACCCCATCTTTTTCTGGATTAAGCCCGCCCACCTACTCCTACACACAAGCTTGTACACAGAGTGACTTTTGGGAGAGCGTTTAGCTGAATACAGCGTTTGAGTAGATGTGTGTATGTGTTAGAGAGCAGAGTAGGAGTGAGTCACGCTGGTTTGCTCCGCTTGCGTGGAGAATTCCCCATTCAAAGACCCTTTTAGCTGTGACTGCAGGCCCTCACTCACAAGCTCAAAACCTCCATATGCATTCAAATCATTCTGTAATTATAATCTCCCACTTCAGACAGCTGTAATTGTTGCGAAGACCCTTTTTAAGTTTGGTCCTTTACTATAACTCAGGCTCTGAATGTTTTTTTTTTTAAATGGTAGCTTCCTGAATTTTCTACTGCAGCAGATCTACATGTAGTGCTTACTGCTTATTTAGAATCCCACTTACAAGTCTGCTCAAAATGAACACAGCCCAGAGAAGCTTATTCAATTTCTCTGTCCCAAAAAGGAAAAAGTGTGCATATATTTGCACATTATGGTTGAAATTGTAGGTTAAACATCAAACGTGACGTACAAAACTTCCACTCACTCTCTGTCTCTGTGCCCTGTCCAGGCTCTACACTCAGAGCGCCTACAAGAACGAGATGCTGACAACCACCATACCAGAGATCCAGAGGACCAACCTGGCCAACGTGGTGCTGCTGTTAAAGTCTCTGGGTGTTCAGGATCTGCTGCTCTTCCACTTCATGGACCCCCCCCCAGAGGACAACATGCTCAACTCCATGTACCAGCTCTGGATCTTGGGAGCTCTGGACAACACAGGTGGGTGGTGAACAACGCTTTGAATAGACTTTGGATATGCTGTGTTATGTAATGCACATTTAAACATATAGTTATTGTTGATTCTTCTCTATTAATTGGTTGTTTTGTCTATAAAATATCAGTCAATTTGAAACAATTTCCATCACAAGTTTCCAGAGCTCAATGAGATGTTTTAAGCAACTAACAGTCCCATACCCAACGATTTTTTTTACTGTCACAGAAAAAAAAATAAAATCACATTAGAGAAACTGGAACCACAGAATTGTTCACATTTTTTTCCCCCTACATTTTTTTGTTTATTGATGAATTGATAATTTGATTAATTGTTTCAGAACAAACACATATTAACACTTGTCAATGTCCATCATGTTTTAATGATGTCATTCTAAATATTACAGAACATGGTATATCATTGTTCTTTCCTCGCCTCTATTTGTAGGTCTAAAAGGCCTAGGCAGGTCTTACTAACAGAGGGGCAAAGCAACATAAATCATCCTCCTTTTGAGATGAGGATGAAGCTGTGACATGTATTGGGGTATTGGGTATTTCAGGGTTGTATCATCTCCCCCTCAGCGCTGCTTTGAGCTCCTGCATAGTGAAGCTGACGGCACAAACACAGGCAGGAGACCAGCTGTTTAGAAGATGCTGTGGTGATGATGCAGACACAGCAAAAGGGCCTCGAGGAGGTAGTTGTGAGGTTGAGCCGGTGGAGTAATTGCCTAGTAACTGATCCTGTGTTTGATTTGACTGGTCGGGTCTCATTTCTGTCTCATCCTTAGCCAGATCCCAGGGGATTTAGGGATTTGGGGATGAGGGGGGACTTTTGATGATTCCCTGTATGGTATGTTAACAGCAGATTATCTCTGATTAAGGCTTACCTGCCCCAAACTGCTGCTCTGCTTCCCTGCTTTTCCTCCTTATAAGCTCCTTAGACACTGTCGTCTAATCATTTAAATCAGAACTGGCAAAGTTTTTGATCTCGCTCTTTTTTTTTTTTTTCTTCTCTCCAAGTATTCTCAACCGTCAGCAGTTCATCCTCTCTCACGGTGATAGACAAATAAGTGTCACATTATGCTGGCTTCTTCCTCACGCCAGCAGGCTTTTGATGGAAAAGGAGCTTATCACTCGTCTTGTTCCTTCTTAATACTTCACATCTCGTGCACTTTTATAAGCTTCACGTCTGACCTCGTAATTGTGTTCTTCTCTCTGTTCAGGCTCTTTGACACCGACGGGGCGTCTGATGGTGGAGTTTCCCCTCGACCCCGCCCTGTCCAAGATGCTGATCGTGTCCTGCGACATGGCCTGCAGTGCGGACATCCTCATCATCGTCTCCATGCTGTCTGTGCCCGCCATCTTCTACAGACCTAAGGTTTGTCTCATAAAGTTACTGTATGATAATGTTGACTTATTGTCTGTGTGATTGAACCCATTTGTATTGCATGTTTAATTGTCATTTTACATCACAGGGTTGCAAAATGAATGAATGGTAAAGCCCCTACAAGATTATACAATTATAGTATTTTGTAATGTTATTTGCCAATAATCTACATTTTTATATTAACTATAAGTCAAATGACATATTTCATTTGAAATGGCTCGCTCACAGGTATGAATACACAGAGACTGATCCCCCGAAACTGAAGCTTATTGTTGTGGTCTTCTAGTAAATGTAACATCCAGTTCACTCTCGTTGTATTGTTTTTCTAACAAAAACGGGACGGTGGTGGCGAAGTCGATAGGGAGTTGGCTTGGCAACTGGAAGGTCACCAGTTCAAGTCCCGGCAAGACCAAGTGTGCTACCGAGGTGTCCCTGAGCAAGGCACTGTTCCCTACACTGCTCCCCGGGCGCCGTTCAAAATGGCAGCACACTGCTCCTAACACTAGGATGGGTCAAATGCAGAGAAACAATTTCCCCACGAGGGATTAATAAAAGTCCATCTTAAACCTGTCTATACTTCATGGAGACCAAAAACCGAGCTTGATCGTTGTAAAAAAAAATAAACAGCCTTAAAATAAACAAAATCCTAATGATGTATGGAAACTGTATCTGTGTGTCTCTGCAGGGTCGTGAGGAGGAGAGTGACCAGGTGAGGGAGAAGTTCTCTGTCCCAGAGAGCGACCACCTCACATACCTCAACGTCTACATGCAGTGGAAGAACAACAATTACTCCAGCAACTGGTGCAACGACCACTTCATCCACACCAAGGCCATGCGCAAGGTCAGACTTCACCGGTTCTCTCCGTCATCACCCTGTGCCCCTGGAAGAAAACCTATCATTTAGTTTTTCTCTTGAATTCCAACACATTTAGATGACCTTGTAGAAATCTCTCAGTTTAAATTGTGCACTTATTTCTAGCTTTGACTATAGTGTTTTTATATGATTCATGTTCTGAGAGGCCTATTCAGTTTTCTACTGAATAACTTTAACTAGAATTTAGTAGAATTTCAGTCAAATGTTTACATTACATCGAAGCCATTCAATGTAAGCCAACAGGTTGGACGCGTTTTCCATGTGGTTTGATTCCCAATACGTATGTTTTTTGTGCAGGTACGAGAGGTGCGCTCCCAGTTAAAGGACATCATGGTGCAGCAGAGGATGAACTTAATTTCCTGCGGGTCAGACTGGGACATCATCAGAAAGTGCATCTGTGCAGCGTACTTCCACCAGGCTGCCAAACTCAAGGTACCTCCATCACTTTCTTCAGTTAATATGTTTCGCCTAGTGGCAACTGGTTGTGGCAGATTTATAGCAGCATAATTACAGAGTGGAGAAATATCCCTCCTGGCCTCAAGTTAATACGGCGCTAAAATCTGAAAGGAAATTTAACATCATGACTTTATAATCAAGGTTCTCCGTTTGACTTATGAGAAGCCGGCTAACCCGAGCAATCGTAGCAATGCTGGATATACTTCACATTTATTTCCCTGCTGTCTAGGGCAGGTGGAGAAGCAAATTAGCCCATGTGACCTACTTTGCTTTGACCTTACAGTGCTCCCATAGGTGCAGGCACCAACACGCATCCCATTTTCCTATCCAGGAATTCAGAATCGCACATTTCATTTGTTATTTATTCCTGTGTTTGCTCCCAGGGCATTGGGGAATATGTGAACGTGAGGACAGGCATGCCATGTCACCTGCATCCCACCAGCTCCCTCTTTGGTATGGGCTACACCCCCGACTACATCATCTACCACGAGCTCGTCATGACCACCAAGGTAAAAATAACGTCGTCTTGGCCAGCACGGAAACAATGAATGCTAAACTGTTTGTGGAGGATTAACATGTTGTTTGTGTTGCAGGAGTACATGCAGTGTGTGACTTCAGTGGATGGAGAGTGGCTGGCAGAACTTGGGCCCATGTTTTACAGCGTCAAACAGGCGGGAAAAAGCAGAACGGTAAGACAAGCCGAGGATGGTACATGCTCAATACATGTTTGTTTAGAGTATGTAGACCGGACTTTCCACATATGTCTCTGTGTACTTTTTGGCTGCGGCTGATTTCCTAATTTGTCCCACAGATCTGTGTTTCCGGACCATTTTAGCTTTGAACCGCTAAGTCACCAACTTGCGAGCTCCTGTCACTCATTCAATATGTGAAATGGTTGTGGCCAGACCAATCTTTTCTCATCTTTTTGGGTTGCTGTTTCAGGAGAACCGTCGGCGGGCCAAGGAGGACATCATCAACATGGAGGAGGAGATGTCCATGGCTGAGGAGCAGCTGCAGGCGCGGAGAGAGGAGCAGGACAAGAAGACCAACACTGGCACTGTTAAGTAAGTCAGCAACAACCTCTCCTCCTCTTGCCTCCTCATCATACACGGGTCCTCATCTAACAATAGTTCCCCATGGCCCTCATTTTCCATTCGCTGTCGAGATAGAAACATTTCATTTACCTACCTCGCTGGCAGTCTATCCCACTCTCTCTTCTCAGCCTCTCTCTCTCTTCATGATGAGCTTTTCTCACCTCTGGTCCCTCCAGACGAGACAAAAAGAAATAATATTGACTCCTGGCTGACCCCCATTACTGCAGCAATTTAAATTGTGCCATAGCAGAGCAGAAAAAAGAGGGGAATGTTCCATTTGAAATTAGACCGAAAAATTAATTTCAAACCCATCCACTAGCTTTACAGAGAGAAATAAGGTTATAAAGACAGATTTAGAAAGACTTGTATTGTTAATTAATCAGCTGGTTTATCTGTCTGAGTTTGCGTGTCTGTAACAGATCTGTTGAAAATAATCACTCTGGAGGTATAGGATTAAGAATTAGATTTATGCAGAGGTGGCTGGATGTGTGATAATGAATGGCGCCGGCTCTCCTGGGCTCTCGGCTGTCCTCCGGCAGGCCTCACACGAGTCTCCTCCGTGAGTTCAGTGTGACCACCATGAAAGATTCCTTCTGATAGACCTTCGTGTGCCGGCTGCTTATCACCCGTCTCCCCGCTCACCAGCACAGATCAGAGGTGTGAATTAGTCGGTTGTTATGTGTTTTTAAAAGTGGAAATGTGAGGGAGTGTTTTTGGGAACACATCAGGGCTCGGAGCTAGAAGCTTGTTAAGTTCCACGCAAAGCACTTAAAAGGACAATACAACAAGTATTAGCTCTTAGAGTAACATCAATTTCTCAATACGCAAAACAAAATGTGTCAAGATTAGTGAAGGAGTGTTTGGCTTTGGAAAAAAACAAGTTTGAATGTGTTTTAGGAAAGAGCAATGGGATACATTCTCTATTTCCTGACATTTAGTAGACCAAGCAATTTGATGATGTTGATCAATCAAGAAAAGTATTTGTAGGTTAATTGATATTAAAGAAAAGAAGCCGTAGCTGCAGTTACATACTAGAGGTTATACATCCGATTAGCTGCACAGCTTTATATTTTTAGATTACATTCTTTCAGGTAAATGGACTCCAACGTTTCTGAATCATTTCTGTACGGGTTGTGAATCGATTTGCAGACTACTGGAATTTGCATCAGTTGAAATTCACCAAAGTTTGCATCAAATTTGCACATTTAGTTGTTGTGGTTGTTATGGTTACAGTACTTTTGTCTGGTAATGCAGTTTACTTACAGATTGAGAGTTTGAGATCCTCTTGTTTAGAACTGAAAGAACACTGATGAGTTTCAAGATTTGTTGAAGACTTACTTTATTGTCAATGTCCACAACAACATTTGCAATATGGTTTACAGTAATATGTGGTGATTTCTCAAAAAAACAGTTGTATGTTTTTTTTTTAGACCCTTGATTACATTTAAAAAATGCTCCACAAGTGTGAATCGCTGTTATGGAACTACTAGCAGGCTGTGACACACGCAACCATTTCTCCTGAAGTGAGCAGCGAGACAGAGAGAATGGCACAGTGACAGAAGGGGGTTATGGCCTTATGGTCATAATTGCTGCCGGTGTGTGTGTTTGAGGTAGAGAGATGAGGGAAGTGTGGGCAGTGTCAGGCTGTCACGATGCTGTAATTAAAGATGATAGATTGTGCTGTCAGAGGCGTCAGGGGCTCTGCGTCCAACACTGAGACACCAGCTCGCCTTTTCCCTCTCCTGCGGTCCTGCTGGATGTTTACAGCTGGACAGGCCGGCCTTCCCTCACCTTCAGCCTTTCTTTTAACCACAGCTGCTTGTATAGGAAATGTTTGAGTGATCGGAGCAAAAAAGAATGAGTTTCTATATTATGTTGCATCTAATAAAACCTCTTTTAATATAAACTTCTTCCCTTTCTCTGATTTCAGGGTTGTAAAGATTTGCACACCAGGAAGAAAAGACGAGGCCCCCATGACGCCCAGACGCACCCCTGCCCGCTTTGGACTGTAGAAACCCCGTCGACCAATCACATTGCCTCCTTTAGACTCGTTATTACCGCGACCTGGATCACACCAGCACAAGCACACAGTGTAACTTCCAGCTGCCATTTGTCCCTCCCAGCATGGCCAGTATCACCTGCAGTACCTGAACAGACCACTAGAGTGAGAACTTGTATAAGGCACAAGACTGAAACAGAGCCAGGTCCCTTCACCTTCATCAGCCTATAGCTGTTACCGCGATACATTTTAAGGAATAAAGGACTTTGTTGTTGTTTTTTTGTAAATTCAGTATGTATATGTTGTCATTACTGAAAAGTGGTTTTACAAATGTCTATTCAGTATTGATTTTACTCGATCTAGAAACATTTAATTTTCTATGCTCTTGTTTAATTTCCTCCATCCTGAATGTATTTTCAGAGGTAAACTGATAAAAAGTGATCTAATTTCAATGTTGTCTTTGTGTCCTTGCATTTAGTAGTTCTGGTTCGGTCGTGGATTAAACAGCGTGTACGCCACAATGAAGTGCTCTTCTACAGACTGAAGCACTATTCAAACTGTACTTATGGCAAGAGGGTCTTCAGAGTCTAGAGTTGTATTGTAATGCCCCGAAAACACACACAACACACTCATATAGGTTTAGGCAATTGAGCTTTTTCTATTCTCTGTCAACCCTGTTCCACCACTGTAATGTACCACAGCGTTCTTCATGGAGAAAACGTTATCATGCTGGATTAAAACATATCAACGGTTATATTTTTATGGTCCTTGTGTTCAGAATAGCAAAGCTTCCTTTGTGGGTTTCCTCCAAACAAATGTGTCTTTAAAATTTGAAAATGTGTTTCTTGATGTACGCCCTCTTCTGACCTCTCAGCTGATCAGAATAACGCAGAGCTCAATGTGTATCAAAACAGTTTAGCAAGGGCCATGTTTGAGTAGTGACAGTGGTTCTCTTTTGTCTTTTTAAAACAGATTTGACACAGCAGAAGGACTGCTAATCTTTTTTGTCTTGACATCTTTTGTAAATGAAACAAAATAAATGTTAGCTATTTTTTGAATCCATGGTGATTTCATTTGACATTCACTAATGTGTCTTTGTGCACTGCAAGCACTGAACATAATAATGTTATTTAGATGTACATTTTTAAGTGAGTTTTGCAGTAACATGAATGATAGCTCAATAAGTGAATATGATTCAGACTAGTTGAGGGAATTCATTCTCTACGTGGAATTGGTTTCCTTATAAAACATAGAACAGGGGTCAATGGTTCGTTTAGAAGTTTTGAGTTGATCCTTCAAAAGTCTTGAATTGAGCTTATCTTATACAAGGTCTAAACATGTTTGAAAGTATCTAGACTGTAGGAAGGAAGGCATGAAGTCCTGGTCAGTGTTGTTTGGTGCCAACGTCAGCCTCTGGCCACTCGGACCTCTTCCTCTCCTCCACTGTCTCTGACCCTGGTGCTGCAGGTGGGGTCTCAGGCCCACACATATCGACACTGACATAAGCTGCCTATGAAATACTTTAGTATGAATACGACTTTCATTTCTTCTTTCTCTTAGGCCTTTTTAGGACATTTCTCTGATTAACAATACTATGACGTTTTTAATTATGTTTTTTATGTCATACTCTAGTATGACTTTTCACAAAAATGTCATAGTATAACAAAAGTCTTATTTTAGTCAATCATTTTCAGTATTGAATAATTAGTTTGTCAATCATAAAAACGTCCAAGGTAACTTAACATAACACAATCCTCATGATGCTATTATGCTTAACCAATAGTTAATGACTTATTTAATCAGCACTACTTACAATTACTGTTTGTATCCAACCGAACAAAAGAGAAGGTGCGTTCACTATCATTTAATCAATTCAAGCAGAAAATCCACACAAATCTGAAGGCACAATGTTTGAAATGTATTTCCTCAAATTTAAGAAGCTTTTTTTCTCTCGACTGAAACTATCAAGTGATAGTATAAAAATTGAAGTTAATTACTTTCTGTCAATCAGCTATAAAACTTCTAAATTAGGATAGATGATAAAGACATTGAACTCCTGATTCGGAAATTATTTCACATGAATTAAACTGTCCTTACAGTTGACTATCGTGCATGTAACAACTTGAGGTGTGTGGTCATGGGCCTCTGCAGTACACTATATTTAAATGTGAATACAGAGCAGCATAAACTGAAATGAAATTCCCAGAATGATTGTTTTCATCGTCAGCTTAACAATTGCAAACTGAGGCAAGTGAAACTGATCAGAGAAACAAAAAGCCTGGGTCTGTCCCTCCCTCACTCCGGCGCTCAAACCCAGATGTGTCACACATCTACATGAGTGATCCCCGGGCTTTGAATCCCCTCAGCCTTAAAGACGCTGATACGCTTTAGATGAAGTGCCAGGCTATATGTGGGTGGATATTGTGTTTGGCTTTATTGAAGTTGTATGTAAATATTCAGGTCACAAAAGCCTGGTGTTCCAGTGTCTTCATCACAGTTAGGGTGACATCACTTGATGTCTCTTAGCTCAAAAGCTCTTACTAGATGGCATCAATTTGGAGGAAAAAGACAAAAGAAGACGCTGGCCTGCCTGTGATTTCTTCCAATGTAGTGCATAACAACAACTAGCAGTGTTTTTCTCTTAGCTGGATCCCTGTGCAGCCCTGCTTTCTTGTTGGTCAGTGTCTGTCTTATTGTAACCCTCATGCAAATAAGCATGATTATGAGCGTTCCCTCGACCCCCTCTATTCTCCAAGTCATCTTGATTGAGTGTGGCAGGCGAAGGCAGGATGGATATAATGTACCCCAGCAACTTTAATGAGACAAATCTCTGCTACGGGCTGACATTTTGAAATAGTCCTTTTGAATGAGTGTCAGCAGTCACCTTTACCAAAGCCTTCCAGGGATGGTCCCTGTAATGATGGAGGGAATTAAAATGGCCTCCGAGGCGGTGGAGATGGGAGCCGCAGGATTAGGGTGCAAAGCCACGCCTCTTAAATGGGCTCTCCTGCCACACCCGAAATAAAGTACAGCTCTCCTCCGACGTCTACATATGTGCCCTGAGATGTGATTGAGGGATTAAGGTGAATGTTTGTTGTTGACCACTATGAGACAAGCTGTCCCTCAAATTAGGCGCCCCGCCTTCGCCTTGCGCCCCCACCCGCCAACCCCCCCTTGTTGTGTGTCTGGTAGCAGACAGGGACAAGCTCTGCTGTCATTACAAACTTAATAAGACCAGAAGTGAGATTGATGAGAAAAACAGAGGCATCAACTGCTCTTTTAATTAACTCTTGTCCCATAATGGTGCGTGGACGGAGGCACTGAGCAAAGAATGAGACATTTTCTTTCTCTTTCCACCCCTTTCTGTTTTGTTGCCTCGCTCACCCCCGATAATGAACAGCCTTCTGGGACCCAATTACATCCAAGGCTGCATTAGGAGCACAGCAGGCCCAGTGGAAACTTCAGCTGAGTTTCCCCTCATCCCCCCCCTCCACTCCATGTTACCCTGCTGGAGATGGCCTTCACTTGATTGAATTTTGAATGTTACACCCCCCCCACACATACACACACTGTCTTCTGTAATCCCTTACCTTCACCAGTTCTGAACCCACATGTGGTTTATGATGGAAGCAGGAGGCAATGTATGCTTGTTGTTGGCTGTCCTTCACCGCTTGCATTGATAGAGTGGCTTTGTATACAAAGTCTGATAGGTGGTGCGAATCAGTGCACTAAAGCCTGTTTGTGTGTTGTGTCCTTGCAACACACTGCATATTCTTGTGAATAATTTGTGTGTGAAACTGAATAAGCACTGATGGGATGGGATTTAAAACATCTATTCAAGTCAGACAAGTAAATTATAGTGATTAAATCAACAATATGTTTTTTTGAACCATAATACAAAATAGAGTTTTTCAAGGACACAATGACAGGTGGCACTGTTTTAAATCAAGTTTAATGCCAATTACAAGTGACAAAACAGTTCAACTCAACACAACCTACTCCAAAGTCTAAAGAACACTTTTGTTTCTTTTTACATCTTAGCATGGTTACATTTGAAATAGCCATAAACAGAAAGCCAGCTGAGACAGATGTAAAAGTGTAGGACAAAGTAAGTTGAGGAATCGCCAAATGTATTACAATTCATCCTCTGAATGTTTAGCAAAATGTTATGGTTATCATTTCATTAGCTGAGACATTTCAGTAGCACCCATTTGATAATAGTAACAGACAGAAATAAAAAAATCCCCAGAATGTCAACAGGACTTGATTGTATTGGTCTCCATTATTGTGTGTTAACATTCCTGTAAAGTCCAGCACTAGAGCCTACTAGAGCCTCGGAGGCCTTGATGGGATTTGTACAGTATGTGATGGTTAAATGTATTTTCGATGGGAACTGCCTCTAAATGTAATGCTTGGGGACATCCAATACATTAATACCAATTATTGGTATTGTTTGGTTTCCACAGACACGTTAAGTGTGGCGTATTGACTGCTTTGCTACAAAGAACGTTGTCTATTGATTGGCCGAGGCAGAAACCGATGGTGCCCTCTTCCTGTGAGGCTGGGATTAATCCTTACATGCTGCCAGTTAGTGAATAACTTACCTACTAAGACCTGTGACTGGAGACCCCGCTCACCGCTTCCGTGTGAGCGCACGGTAAATCCTCACTGACACCTTCTGAAAAGTCAAACATAATAAGGGACAAACAAACTCATGAAATGACAGAATGCTGCAAAATAAAGACATTGGCTGTTCTAACACTAACCAGTTACTACATCTCTGCAAGGGAACATTTTATTATCATCAGCTGCTTTTCTATGAACTTTAATTTTGGTTTCTAACAAGTCAAAAATTATTTACCAAACTAAATAAAGCTTACCTTTGTGAGTAACAGAAGAAATAAGTATAAGAGTGTTTGCATCACACAGTAATCTTCTTACTTGTCCATTGCCTTATCCCTAACCAACACTTTGTGTATACTGTACTACCATGCTTGGTCTCACTCCCAGCGGACTGCATGGTTACTAACAGCTCATCCACTATTGCTTAGGGGTCTTATTTTGTTCTAGAAGAAATACTTTATACTGTCAAACTCAGACATCCCTTGTGATTGAAGGCCGATGGGCATGGAACTCTCAGAGCTGCCCTCAAAGCTGCAACAATGCCTGCTTTCACACAGCCAGCTTGTGGTGGGTGGAGTGGAAGAACAAAGGCAGACTTGTTAGGGTTTAGATGCCTTTATTATTATTTTATTCAGCTGCAATTTCTTGTCTATCTGCCCATATTCATTAAGATAAGATTTCGGCTACATTGGCCGTGGGGTGTGTGGTTCTGGGATTAGTTACTGTATGTGACTCAAAATACATCAATTACTTAATTTTTTTATCTGTAGAAATTGACGTACAGCAGCTTGATGATAAAATATAGATATTATTTATTTTAGATCATCAC